GAATTGTCTGACACACTTTTGAGCCCTTGCCCCCCCAGCTCTGCCTTCCAAGTCCTCAGCTATGGAATTCTACCTCCCTTTTCATTTTCATTGAAAAATTAATATGCTTCTCAAAGTCTAGGCTAAGTTAAAACCACAATTTGAGTTTTCCTATCTGGGCCACAATGGAAGCTTCAGTTTGGATTCAAGACTTCAAATGTTCTTGTATTCTGTGTTAGAACTTTCAAAAGACTCCCATGTCATTTGAACAACTACAGACATTTTGAGGTTCTTTACTGCTTTTTGGCCAGTGGAGTTGGAATGGGCCAATACGCACTGAATCCTCCAGAATGATTTTTCAGCTTTCTTATTCCCAGCTCCACCTCCTTCGCCTTGGCGCCTGCCTGTAGGGTCTGGGAGTCCTGAGTAGTCTGAGGGTGCTGGCTTGTTAAGTGCTGGTTTTTAACTCCTTCTTCTGGATTATTCGAGGAAAGAATAAGCATCTTGTGAGATTCTGTGATCACTTTAATTATCCTGCCTTCAGGTGACTTGTCAATCAAGTGCAAGTGCAGGTGCTGAAGGGCCGCCTCATGGTCTCCTCCCTATTGCTTTCTCTTTGAGATGCTCTGTGCTCCCAGCTTACCTAGTTGTGATCTAACGTCTTAAACTTCGTGGGATAGGAATGCATCTCTGTCTGGAAGCTCTTCCCAGCGCCTCTAGCCCTGACGCCCCGACATCCCCCACCTGCTCTGCATCTCTGTTCAGAGCCTACTCAGCCCTGGGAACTGGACTATGTCTTGAGATGCAAAGGTGAAATGGCTGACATCTATATACAATAGACACTCAATAAATGCTTATGGTAGGCCTGGGGATCGTTATTTACTTGGCTTTGGCGATGTGGTGCGAGGAGGGGTTTTCCTATAATTGGGCTCTGTATGCTTCAGCAAGAGAAGGCGGGGGAGAAACTCACGGTACAGAAACTTCTAGCTATGCCCCTGCTTGCCCTCCACTCCCCTCCACCTCCACAGCATGTGCCCCCTACTTCCCCTGCCCAGTTCAGACAGGAGGAATACATACACGTGTGCAAGGTGTGTGGTGGCATTATTTCCTTGGGCCTTGTGTCCTTCTGAGGAAAAGGTAGTGTCTAAAAGCCAAACCAAGGGCAAAGACAAATTTCCCAGAAAGCCAGCTAAAATGGAGGTCTGCCTTTTATACTACAGAGCTGGCTGACTTCATTAGTGTCAACGAAGGGTCTTGCTTCTGGGGCACACGTCAGTGCCTAGCCCTCCTGGGTACGCTGAGGCTGCCTCCCGCTACCTAGCTGCTTCGAAGAGCAGCACACGTGACTCAGGGGAGGCAGAGCTGTGGGCCAGAGGAGGGGCCCAGGAGGTCAGGGGGTCAGCCTGAGGAGAGGCCTGACCCCAGCCCGCAGTCAGATACAGGAAGGTCTCCCTAAGACCAATGACAAAAGGACTTTGGTGTCGCCCTCAGCCCCTAAAAAGGTTTGACAAGCTGTGTGAGTCTGTTTCTCTGAAAACAGGGACTTCTTTCAAAAGATTGCCAGAGTGGTGGTGTTTCGTTTAAGGCAAACGCTGATTCATTCTCTCGTCTTCTGCAGCAATGTAGGGTCAGAGGGCATATCCGTGTGAACTGTAGCAGAAGTTCCTGTGGAAGTCAAGAGCGTTTTCTCTCAGCACGCTCAGTCAGTGCTCAGTCAGCAGGGAGGGGAGCCCTACCTGACAGCAGCCACCGGTTCCCTTCACCCATGGCTCCTGGGGCTTGAGCTGTCGGGGAGGGAGCGCTGTCACCAGTCCTGGTTACCATGGAAACAAGTGAGCGCTCTTCGTAAAAGCTCATGATACTCTTGGAAGGGGACCTTCCAGTGGCGTGTGACGTCAGGGCCCCTAAGAACATAAGATTTCAGCAAACGATGTTATTCAAACTAGAGACGGCCATAAATATATTGTATAAAGTAAGCCAACAAGTATTGGGGGTCCCTTCCCCCTTCCGAGTCTGCCAGGTACACCACTGTAGGTCATTCCCATGATTAATTTTTTTTCTCTTCAATAAGCCACTTAGTAAGATCCACTGTTGAACTTCCGTGATCCCCTGGGCAAAACGAAAACTGATACAATACTTAAACTCATGGTGGATAAGAGAAAACTTGGAAATGTATTTGTTTACCTGAGTTCCTGGGTTAACGTCCAACAGCAACCTAATATATAATCTGAATTTAGTGGAATCTGGATGATCTGAAACCCGTAACAGTTATTTCTGATTCAAGATGTTAGAATGCTTTTAGAGTGGGCATTCCTTATCAGAAAACCTACTAACCTAGGGGGTTGAAGTTATAAAATATCACAGCATCCTCTTAGGGAAATTTGCTTCCGTCTGTAATATAACCGTACTATTTCATAAAACTCGAAGGAGCTTTCCATTAGTTAACCTTTGCTAATGTTTTCTGTTTAGGAACAAGCCAACACAATGGACTGGGGTACCCTGCACACGTTCATCGGGGGTGTAAACAAACACTCCACCAGCATCGGGAAGGTGTGGATCACCGTCATCTTCATTTTTCGCGTCATGATCCTCGTGGTCGCCGCTCAAGAGGTGTGGGGCGACGAGCAGGAAGATTTTGTCTGCAACACGCTGCAGCCAGGGTGCAAAAATGTGTGCTATGACCACTTTTTCCCTGTGTCCCACATCCGGCTGTGGGCCCTGCAGCTCATCTTCGTGTCCACCCCGGCCCTGCTGGTAGCGATGCATGTGGCCTACTACAGGCACGAGGCTGCCCGCAAATTCAGGCGAGGAGACAAGCGAAATGAATTCAAAGACCTCGAAGACATTAAAAAGCAGAAGGTCCGGATAGAGGGGTCCCTGTGGTGGACGTACACCAGCAGCATCTTCTTCCGCATCATCTTCGAAGCATCCTTTATGTACGTCTTTTACTTCCTTTACAACGGGTACCACCTGCCCTGGGTGTTGAAATGTGGGATTGACCCTTGCCCCAACCTTGTCGACTGCTTTATCTCGAGACCCACTGAGAAAACCGTGTTCACCATTTTTATGATTTCCGCATCTGTGATTTGCATGCTGCTTAACGTGGCCGAGCTGTGTTACCTGCTTCTGAAAGTGTGTTTTAGGAGATCAAAAAGAGCACAGACACAGAGAAATCACCCCAATCATGCCCTAAAAGAGAGTAAGCAAAACGAAATGAACGAGCTGATTTCAGATAGTGGTCAGAATGCGATCACAGGCTTTCCAAGCTAAACATTTCAAAGCACGGTGTAGCCGACTCATAACAAAAGTGGTGTCTTCTCCTGAAGGCAATGCCCACCTAAAAATCCCCTCTATAGACTGAAGACTTTGTCTTTATAAATGGCTTTCATAATCCATAGACACTTGCGTTAACTTTTTCTAGAATAATTGGTGCAGTAATACGCAACGTAGTTGAGTATGTGGTCCGTCTCTGAAAACTAAGACACGATTGCCACTGTGCCTTGAAGTAACCTTAACACGTTTAAATGGACTATCTTAGTAGGTGTTTCCCGAAAATTGTGTAACTGTTGTTGGTAAAGAACATTTATCTAGAAATTGATACTTTGATTAGTAAAAGGTATTTTTATAGGATTGGAGGTTTTAGTTCTGACTTTGAATTCATATAAAGTATTTTTATAATGACTGGTCTCTCTTACCTGGAAAAACACGATGCTAGCGTTAGGATGGTGCCACACGATCTAAATTTCGAACTTGTGGAGAGTCCGCCTTGTTGTAAGTAGCGTGTTGTGTGGTCTGCTGACAAATGTACGAGCTGTCGTGATACTCTTAAGGTGGACATTGGTCATCGTACAACACGTTTTTATCGCTTTCCGAATGTAGACAGAGCTGTACGGGGAAGCGGGGCGCTTCTGGAAACTGGCCGATGTGCAGCCGTGGCGAACGGCCGAAAGCGGAGCGCTCGCCTCAATAAAGATCAGCCCGTGGCTTACCTTTCGCTCGCGTGACGGGTTTCTGTTCGTCCGGCGTCCGCGCAGCCGCCTCGCGCGAGGACGCGTCGGTTGGGTGGCTTTGCCGCGTCGGCCGCCGGTTGCGCGGGTGGGGGCGCCCGAGAGGTCGAGGCGGACTCTCGCGGCCTCTGTCGAACGGGCCGAGCCGCGGTCAGCGGCCCACCGGGCCTCGGCCGGGAGAGGATCCGGCCGCGTCAGGACGCGCGAAACGCCCCCCCCCCCCCCCCCCCCCCAACCCCGGGTCGGGGCAGCCCGGGCAGAGCGGAGGGTGAGGAAGCGGGCAGCGGCCGCCGTGAGACGAGGCTCGCCTCAGAGGACTCGCTCGTCACCGGCGCCCTCAGTGCGTGTGACCGAGATGAGCGCCCGCAGGCCAGGACGCCTTTCTCGTCAGGGATCCCCAGACCGAACGCGGATGCCGGTAGCGTGGGTGCTGGCGAGTCAGCCGGTCACGGTCCGGTCACTCGAGCGTGGAAACACGTACACGCACGTGCGGCCTCCGTGTGAAGGGACGGGAGCAGCACGGTAGGTTCCGCGCGAGGAAACCTGACGGGCAAGAAGCGTGCACAAGGGCTTGGCGTGGCGCCGCGATTCTAAGACCTCCCTCCAGAAAAACGGAATATTCTCATTTTCTTCGGAGTCCAGAGCAAACTCCACACATACCATTTCATCCACAACTATCTCAGTATTAATCTATAAAGACCAGGACTACCTTGTAAAACAAAACTACAACTCTACCATCAAATTAAAAAACCTGGTGAGCACGCATAACTCCCGACGTCCCGTAATAGTCTTCCTTTGTAAATAGCTCTCCAAATGAGTATCAGATGAAGGGCGAGGGGGAAATGCCAGGGGTAGACAAAACCACCTTGGTAACTAACAACCCCAGTCTGCGTCAGAGACGAACCTCCTTCCTGCCATGATCTTGGAACTCCTGGTGCCTCGCCCGGCGGGACCCCTGGTCAGCCCCTCCTTTCTTACTCCCCATGTCTTTCTCTTCTCCGGTTGGTTTCTGCTCTTTAGCCCCCCTAACACTCCTTGCCTCTGGAGCTGTCCCTCCACGCCATCCCATCAAGGTCAGGAGTAGTGGCCACGCCCTCTGACCCCACTCACTTCTCAGCACCTTCATCTGGGCCCACCTGGCCACTGAACCCAAGCCTCTGTCAGCGCCAGTGACTTGCTGAACACCGAAGCTGATGGCTTCTCACCGGTTTTCATCTTCGTAAAGCTCTTTCCGGGACCTTTTTTGTTTTTGGGTTCCAAGACCCTGCCCGGCCTAACCTTGGGTCTCCACCTCGAATGGCTCCTCCGTCTCCTGCACTGGCTCCTCTCCCTCTCCCACCCCTGGAGAGAAGACCTTTCCTTTTCTCTCCCTGTGCTCCTCTTTGGCAATCTCCTGTCTGCACGATTACCCTGAGATACTGTCACACTTTACAGACAGGTTAAATAACTTGCCCCAGACTTGCCTCATATGTAGCAGAGCCAAGGTTCAAACCAGGTGCGACTCTCTCTGAAGGCAGTGGCTTCACGACCATGTTGTGCCGGCAACCACAGCTCCGTGCTGGGTGACTGCGTATAACGTATGATGTGGAGAAACCCCCTGCACCTCTCACCCAGCTCCAGCCGATGATCTAGTCGTGCTTTTTCGCTTTCCCAGGAGACTCTCACCTGCTTGTCCCTCACTCTGGATTCCTCTGAAGCAAGTCCCAGACACATCGTTTTGTTGGTAGATATTTCAGTACGAGTCTTGTAAGAGTAGACTAATCTCTTAAAACTAAAACACAATGCCACCATCACGTTACAAAATCCAGTCGTGGTTCATAATTCCCCAACTGTCCTGTAAATGTTCCTCTTTTTTTTCTCATTATTTTAAGATAATTGTAGAATCACATGTAGGTGTAAGAAGTAATACAGAGGCCCCTGTGCCCCTTGAACTTTGTCTCAACGGTAATATCCTGTGAAACTATAGTACAAGATCTCAACCACCGTATTGCCATTGATCCAGTCAAGACGTAGAACGTTGCCATCACCACAAAGGTCTCCCATGTGGCCCTTTTATAACTATGCCCAATTCTCTCCCATCCCGTCTCCACTCATCACATCCCTTTTTGATTCCTGGAAACCACTGATCTGCTCGTCATTTCTATAGTTTTGTCACCTCAAGAACATTATTATAAAAGAAATGATACACTATGCAACCTTGTGAGATGGGATTTTCGTTCCCCCGGCATACTTCTCTGAAGATTCATCCAGGTCATGGTGTGCACTAATACTCTAATCCTTTTTGGCGCTAAGTAATGTTCCATGGTATGAATGTGCAGAGTTTAACCATTCACTCATCAAAGGACATCTGGGCTGTTTCTAGTCTGTGGCCTATATGAAAAATACGAACAGGTTTTTCAGTGAACACATTTTCATTTCTCGTGATAAACATTCAGAAGTTCAATTGCTTGGCATACGGTGGTTGTACATTTCATTTTTTAAGAAACTGCCAAACTGTTTTCCGGAGCAGCTGCACCATTATACATTCTCACCAGCAGCGTATGAGTGATTCACTTCTTCCTCATCCTTGCCAACATTTGGTGTTGTCACTATTTTTTATTTTAGCCATTCTGATTGATGTGCTTAATTTGCATTTCCATAATGTCTAATGAAGTTAAACATGTTTTCATATGATTATTTGCTATTTTTATATTCTTTTCATTTTCTAATTAGACTGGTTTTTTTTCTACTGTTGAACTTTGATAATTCTTTATATATTCTAAATACTAGTCCTTGGACAGAAAGTAGTTAGCGAATTTTTTCCTACTTTAGCTTTTCTTTTCATCTTCTTAACAAGGTCTTTTCCAGACTAAAAGTTTTACATTTTATTTGTTTTTTTTAATTTTTATTTATTTTTTTAATTTTTTTTTTAACATTTATTTATTTTTGAGACAGAGAGAGACAGAGCATGAACAGGGGAGGGGCAGAGAGAGAGGGAGACGCAGAATCCAAAGCAGGCTCCAGGCTCTGAGCTGTCAGCACAGAGCTCGACGTGGGGCTTGAACTCACAGACCACGAGATCATGACCTGAACCAAAGTCGGACACTCAACCGACTGAGCCACCCAGGCGCCCCTTTTTTTAATTTTTTTAATGTTTATTTATTTTTGAGAGATGGAGACAGAATGCGAGTGGGGGAGGGGCAGAGAGAGAGGGAGACGCAGAATCCGAAGCAGGCTCCAGGCTCCGAGCTGTCAGCACAGAGCCTGACATGGGGCTCGAACCCACGAACCGGGAGATCATGACCTGAGCCGAAGTCGGATGCTCAACTGACTGAGCCACCCAGGCACCCCAAAAGTTTTACATTTTAATGGAGTCCAATTTATCGAGTTTTTTTTCTTAGATGGATTGTGATTTTAGTGTCAAGTCTAAGAAGTCTTTGCCTAATTCAAAATCCCAAAGATTTTCTTTCTTTTTTTTTTTTTAATAAAAGCTGTATAGTTTTAGGTTTTACATTCAAGTTTGTGGTCCATTTTGTGTTGAATTTTTTATAAGGTCTGAGATTTAAGTTGAGGTTCTTTTTTTTGCATGCAGATGTCCTGTGGCTCCAGCACCCTTTTTCTTTTTTTCATTTAAAATTTTTTAACATTTATTTCTGAGAGATAGAGAGAGACAGAGAATGAGGAGGGACAGAGAGCGAGGGAGACACAGAATCTGAAGCAGACTCCAGACTCTAAGCTGTCAGCACACAGCCCAACGCGGAGCTCAAACTTACGAACCATGAGATCATGACCTGAGCCGAAGTAAGTTGCTTAACCGACTGAGCCACTCAGGTGCCCCGCTCCAGCACCCTTTGATGAACATGCTATCTTTCCTCCACTGAGTTGTTTTTGCACTTCTGTCAAAAATCAATTGTTTATATTTGTGTGGAGCTATTTCTGGATTCTCTGCTCTGTTCCATTGATCTGCATGTCTATTCCTCCACCAATACCAAATAGTCCTGATTATTGTACTGTATAAATCACCCTCGAAACCTGCTAGAGTGATTCCTCTCTCTCTATTCTTCCTTTTCAAATTATCTTAGCTCTTCTAATTCATCAGCCTTCGCATATACATTTTAGAATCATTTTGTCTGTGTCTAAAAAGTCTTGGGGGGGTTGGTAGAAATGGCATTAAATCTGGATATCAGTTTGAGGAAAATCGACATCTTCAAATATTCCTATCCATACACACAGTATGTTCCTCTACATATATCTTCTTTTATTTCTTTAATCAGCAGTGTATAG